TTCTTAACAGTGAGGGTGACAGAGCACTGGAACAGGCTGCCCAGAGAGGTTGTGGAGACTCCTTCTCTGGAGATCTTCCAAACCCACTTGGATGCAGTTCTGTGCCACGGGCTCTAGGTGACCCTGCGTGTGCAGGAGGATTGGATTTGATGACCTCTAGAGGTCCCTTCTAACCTTAATCATTCTATTCTATGATTCTACGATCACCCTTTGTCTTTTTTGTAGGGAGGCTTCCAAAAGTAGGCCACACCCACAGCCTTTCCCCCATCCACTAGGTGGGTCACCTGGTCATAGAAGGAGATCAGGTTGGCCAGGCAGGATCTGCCTTGCATGAATCCATGACACCCTTGGCTTAAGGGGACAAGTACCTTGAGGATAACTGATTTGTGTGTTAAATACTGAGGTAAAAAGGACATTAAGTACCTCAGCCTTATCCTCATCCTTGGTGACAACTATTCCTCACTGCATCCAATAAAGGATGGCAATTCTCCTTGGCCCTCCTCCTCTAGTTAATCCTGAGCCATAACCACTCATCTTTTCCTTCACCTTAGCGAACCCAGTTTTATTCCTTTCCCCCTAGTTTATTCCCCCCACCTAGTTTAAAGCCCTCTCAATGAGCACTGCCAACTCCTGAGCAAGGATTCTTCTCCCCCTAAGAGACAGGTGAAAACTGTCAGCAGCACGCCCGGTGCCATAAAGACTGCTCCACAGCCAAAAAAAAAACCCCAAATTCAACCGCTGGCATCAGTGTTTTAGTCATCTGTTAAGCAGGTGGCTTTTCTTCCTTTTGTGATAGTCCTTCCCTGACACAGAGACGATAGAAAAGATCACCACCTGTGCACCAACATCCTCAGACCTCTGAGGTGGTATTGCCAGATCATTTACAAGTGTTCCCCCTGCGCACTTCTTGAGATGACTGCAGGGTGTGACTCCACCAATCTCTCACACTGATGGCCCTCAGCCTTTCTACCTACTCCTTCAGTGATGCCACCATACTAAGCAGTTCATCCACCTGTTCACACCTCACACAAGTGTTGTCTCTGCTACCCCTAGCTAACACTGAGAGGCTATGGGAGAGCTGGAGACCTAGACTGCTGCATGTGTGGGAGGCATCTCAGCCTGTGTCCCCCAGTCTTCCTGCCGAGGAGACACCCTGCCTTGGGCTGATTCCTCACTGAGGTGATGACTGCAGAGAGGGCTGTCCTGCTGAGCCATGTGCAGACTTCCTGCCTGCCCTAACTACACCAACACCCAGGCTAACTGCTGCTCTGATGGCCACAGCATGACCTGTGTGCCCACTCTGCTCTAAATGCCGCTCTTAAATGTTTCGCCATGCCTCGGGCGCCTCCTCTGATGGCTGCACCACGCCCTTTGGACTTGATCTAACCG